TCAATTTAGTTTCTTCAGAAAAACTTTGGTAGTCTGACAGACTTCCTGTTCCTAAGTAACGGTTGATGTTTTTCATACTATAATTGCAGAAAATGTAGAATGTGAATGATTAAACATTTGCCTTGACTATATGAAAGCATTGTACTCCTAATTATTGTTCTATCTTCAGGTTCATTAATACTTGCCTCTGTCTTCTCCATTTTGCCATGGAGCCCATCCATTGAGTTTTTATATGTTAGTTATTATATTTTTCAGTTCTGTATTTTTTATTTGGTTCTTTATATCCTTTATTTCCTGAGACTTCTATTTTTTCACTTATTTCAAGCATGTTCATAAATATTCCTTGAAGCACTTTTATGATGGCTACTCTGAAATCTTTCAGATAGTTGTAATGTTTGTGTCATCCTGATGTTAGTGTCTATTGATTGTATTGTCTTAATCAAATTGATATCTTATTGGTTCTTGATATGATTTTTTAAATCGAAACCTGGACATGTAGAGTATTATTAGACTCTGAATCTTATGTATATCTTCTGTTTAGCAGGCCTCCTGTGACACCACTTCACTGGAGCAGGGGTGCTGCCTCATTACTGTGGGTGGAGATGAGAATCTGGGTTCCTACTTGGGCCTCTATTGACTCCTGGCAGAAGGGATTTCTCATTGCTGCTGAATGGAGTGAGAAGTTAGACTCCTGAGTAGAATAAAAGGCAGTAGACTGGGCAAAAATATTTGCAAACCACATATCCAACAAAGGCCTTATACTTAGAATATATAAAGAACCCTTAAAACTCAACAGCAGAAAAACAAACAATCCAATTATAAAATGCACAAAAGGCATGAACAGGTATTTCACCAAAGAGAAGATATAGATTGCAAATAAGCACATTAAAAAGTGTTCAACATCAATGAGGTAACAATATGCACCTATTGGAACAATTTTGAAATTTAAAAAAAAATGATAATACCAAATGTTTGTGAGGATGCAGAAGAACCGAGTCACTCATACTTTGTTGGTTATTATAAAATGATACAGCAGGCCAGTTGTGGTGGCTCACACCCATAATCTCAGCACTTTGGGCGGCCAAGGCAGGCAGATCACTTGAGCCCAGGAGTTTGAGACCAGCCTGGGCCAACGTGGTGAAACCCCGTCTCTACCGAAAATACAAAAATTAGCTAGGTGTGGTGGCGTGCACTTGTAGTCCCAGCTACTCAGGAGGCAAAGGCAGGAGAATTGCTTGAACTCGGGAGGTGAAGGTTGCACTGAGATGAGATCATGCCACTGCACTCCATCCTGGGCAACAGAGTGAGACTGTGTCTCAGAAATGTAAAATAGAATGATACAGCAATTCTAGAAAGAGTGTGGCAGTTTCTTAGTAAGGTCAGCATGGAGATGCCATATGACTTAGCAATTGGACTCTTGGGTCTTTTCCCAGATGAATGGAAACTTATATCCACCTGTATGAGAATGTTGATAACATCTTTACTCATAGTAGCCTTAAGCTAGAAACAACCAAAATGTCCTTCGGGATGACTGGTTGAATAAATTCTTGTACATCCATGGAATAATCCTTAGTAATAGCAAATGATGAGCTATTGATATATGCAACAGTCTTGATAAACTTTGAGCACATTATGCTGAATAAAACAAAAGCTGATCTTAAAAGGTTATGTACTATATGATTCCATTTCTAGAATATTCTCAAGATGAGTAAACTGTAGAGATCAAGAGCAAATTAGGGGTTGCCAGGGTAAAGGGACTGGGGTGAGGCAGGTAGAACGGGGGTGAATACAAAGTGGTGGCATAATGGATTTCTCTTGTGGTGATGGAATAGTTTTGTATCTTGATTGTGGTGCTGGTTACAGATCTGAATGTGCGATAAAATTGCATAGAACCACACAAACAGACACATACATACTACACACACATACACATGAATACAGGCTAAAAGATGGTAAAAACTGAATGAGGTCTCTAGTCCAGTAGTTAACAGTAGTGTGCTGATGTTAACCTTCTGGTTTTGATATTGAACTACAGCAAAATACAATGTCATTAGGAGATGCTGGGTGAAGGGTACCTGGGTCTCTTTGTACTACATACTACTTTTGCAGCTTTCTATGAGTCTAATTATTTCAAAATAAAAAAGTTTTTTGTTTTTGTTTTTTTTTTTTAAGAAGATTCTCATTTGCCTGGAATAGTTTAAATCTAGTTCTGCTAAAGGCAGCATACTGGAGAAAACCACTGTTTGCTACTCCCACCTCCAAAATATCACAAGGCAAATAAAACTTACATTATATATTAATAAAAACATCTACATGTAATATCCTTCTTATTTCTTTGGTGTATTTCTTTCCTTTTTAACATATATGGCATATTTCTTACCTTTTTAAAATTACTTGTATGGGAAAACTGACAGTATTCAGTTGTTATTAGGGGTAGTGCCATGTTTTTTGCATGTGCTAACTGCCCTTTTTCTGCCACTAACAACACAGTGCAGATGACACTCACATGTCCTGAACACTTACAAGGATGTTCTCTAGTTTGACCAAATCCAAAAACATTTCCAAGGAAGTAAAATTGCACAACTTTATCGGTGATACATTAGTTTTAGGCATCATTCACTACAGCTTTGGAAAAGGTATAATGGGCTGTGAGTTATGAGAATTGCTTGCAAGCTGTGACTATCACTTTTTCTCCTACTGAGGAAAGTGTATTGGATTGCAGGTGAGGGAATGTATCCTTAAATGGAAAACCTGGAATCTGCTCAAATTTATTTAAATTACTTTTGATATACTTCACAACTATAGCTGGTTTAAACAGTGCCTTTGAGAGCATCCATTTTAGGGTGCAAAAGAAGTGAAATATATTGTCCCTGCCTTATAAGCTGCTATGGTATACTGGAAACAATTCTAACTTCAAGTGTCAGACCTGGATTTTAATCTTAGCTCTGCTGCTTACCAGACAGGTCATTAAACCTCATGGAACCTGAGTTTCCTCAACTATAGAGATAAAATCTATTTTGTAAAATTGTTATTCCTTTCATCCCTCACATTTGTGAAAGGTACCTACCTTCACCATATATGATTCATCTAGCTGTTGTTCAGTAAATGTTAGTTTTGTCACAAAAGGTTTGTACATTATTTGGGTGATAGATACACTAAAAGCTCAGACCTCACCAGTACGCAATATATCCATGTAACAGAACTGCACTTGTACCCCTTAAATTTATACAAAAAAAGATGGAAATATATCCATGCATATATACATACAAAATGAATCAGAAATATATCATAAAAGTGATAAATATTGTGGTATAAACTATAACAAAAAGATAGAAAATGGAGAGTGCCAAATTGGCTGCATATTTCAGAGAAGGCATTATGATAGAAATGGTATAAAAATTGGGCTTTGAATGGTGATGAGGTAGATAGGGGAGAGGAGACCATTTCAAGAAGAAGCAAGACTTGTAATCTCAGCACTTCAGGAGGCCGGGAGGCCGAGGCAGGCGGATCACAAGGTCATCAGGAGTTTGAGACCAGCCTGACCAACATGGTGAAACCCCGTCTCTACTAAAGATACAAAAATTAGCTGGGCATGGTGGTGCATGCCTATAATCTCAGCTACTCAGGAGGCTGAGGCAGGAGAATCGCTTGAACCCAGGAGGTGGAGGTCGCAGTGAGCCGAGATTTCACCACTGCACTCCAGCCTGGACGACAGAGCGAGATCTCAAAAAAAAAAAAAAAAAAAAGAAGCAGCAGCAAGAAACCTGAGGTTATATGGCTACAAGGGAATCAGAATTGAGAAATTTATACTATTTGAGACCTGCCCTATTTTCTATTAGATTTTGGAAGTCAGAAAGCTTAATGTTTAAGTAGTTTATTTCATAATGTTACATTCTTAAAAGCATCCCAACATGTGCTGTGTATTTTAATGATATTGTTGAATACTAGAATGCCTGCTTGGTTGGTAAGACTCTTGTATACCTTACCTTGGAATCTTGGTAAGACTTACATAGCTTCTATCAGTTATACCCAAACTTTGAAAGATAGATGGCATAATAATGGAGCATTAACAAGATCTGGGATTTCAGTGTTTTTATTAAGGCTTATAGAATTGTTTTCACATGTTATTAATGTGTATCTCTTCAAATAAACTTTGGGAATCTGACAAACTTTCTGTTCCTAAATGATGGTTGATGTTTTGGATACTATAACTGCAGAAAATATAGAATGTGAATGATGAAACATTTGCCTTGAATATATGAAAACATCATACTCCTAATTTTCTTTTTAAGTTTTATTTTGATGTATTCTCATGGAGAAATAGGTGCATTATTGAAAGCTTAGTTTTGATAATAATTGGGCTTTGTTTTATATGGTATTGGAGCAAAGAAGCTTTCTGTAGGACAAATGGATTTATCAGTGTTTTTTTCCAAAGGTGAATCAGCCACATATACTTGTAATTCATCTGCTTTTGTGATCCGGTTTGCTGTGTAATTTAGTTTACCATTATTTTGGTGACCAAATTATTTTTAAAATATGTATTGAATGCCTGCGGTATAAGAGCATTATATTCAGCATGGGTGGGACAAAAAGTAAAATGGCACAGACCCTCAGCGATCCAGTAGGAAAGGGAAATACATACACAAATAACTACAGTGTAAGACAGTTTGCCGTAGTGTCATGAGCTTTGTAGGATTTTAGATAATGGAGACAGCATTTTTCAGTGGCAGACCTGGGATGATTTCATGGAAGCAGAAGCATTTGACTAATTCACATAGCTTATAAATGAATATTAACATGGCAGTGTGAAGTATGAAGCCTGAAATGACAGCTCTCCCAATGTCAAAGATACTGTCTTTATGAATGGGGATAATCACTCTAATACCAGGTAGTGGTAAATATGTGAACATTATCATAAGTACTAATTTAAGGTAAATATTTGTACTTTTATAAATAAGTATTTTATATATAATGGGTGATTGATGTTTTTATGTTTTTAGGCCATGAATATTGTGGTTCCCTTCATGTTTAAATATGCTGTAGACAGCCTCAACCAGATGTCGGGAAACATGCTGAACCTGAGTGATGCACCAAATACAGTTGCAACCATGGCAACAGCAGTTCTGATTGGCTGTATGTGTTATTCTTTAATCTGTCTAAAGGTGTTGACTTTCTTCAAGGAGGTTTCATCATATTTGAGCAGATGACCTTTTCAGTACACACACAGCTTAGCATTTTGGATGTTTGTTGTTTTATGTGAGATGTTTTGTATGTGTTTTTAAAAACTGTTCTGTATGATACACTTTCAAAAAATTCCATGATAACATTAGGATTTTTACAAGTTCTAGAAAACAATAGTATGAAATAAGACATTAAATTCATAACAACCACTTCTAGGAGTTAGGCTTTTTGTAACATCCATTTCCACAAAGGTCAATTATTTTCTTGCTGGCATTGTTAGCTATTAAATAGGAAATAGCTAAATAACAATATATATGTACATAAATGCTTTATTAAAATGTATTCATTAGTAATAACACAAATCTACAGTTTGAAAAGAACAGAATATAAATGCTGTGTGCATGCATTAGAAAGGACACTATGAGATTTGGGAGACATTAGTAAGGGTATGCCTTTAGTCAAGGCACTTGATTTTTCAGGATCTCAATTTTATCACTTGTTATTTAGGAAGATTAAATTAGATAAAAATCCTCAACAGATACGCACATTTATCCACAATAATGCCATGTGGGCTATTATTTAAGTATTTTATTTGGAAAAAAATATTTTAACATTTGAAACCTAGAGGAAATAACACTGAAGGGATTCATAGTGGTAGAAAAGTTAATACTCATTAGGCTAGATTATTTCTAGGTTTCTTTTATTGTAAATATTCTGTGATATATTCATTCACTGAATTATTCATTGTACAAACATTTTCTGCACGCTTGTCATTTCTATACTCCTTTGATTCTAATATTGTTACATCCTATTTTTTCTTTTGAATGTATTGTTAGATGGTGTATCAAGAGCCGGAGCTGCTTTTTTTAACGAAGTTCGAAATGCAGTATTTGGCAAGGTAGCCCAAAATTCAATCCGAAGAATAGCCAAAAATGTCTTTCTTCATCTTCACAACCTGGATCTGGGTTTTCACCTGAGCAGACAGACGGGAGCTTTATCTAAGGCTATTGACAGAGGAACAAGGGGTATCAGTTTCGTCCTGAGTGCTTTGGTATTTAATCTTCTTCCCATCATGTTTGAAGTGATGCTTGTCAGTGGTGTTTTGGTAAGTTAAACATTTTTTCATAACAAGCTTTTATCTTAAATTCATATTAGTAGCAGTTGAATATTTGAAGCTATTGTACTGTTGCATGCCTATGGGTTTGAAAGCAAAATTCTGTGATGCCAGAAACATTATGCAGTTTAAGTATTTTACCACAAACTTCAATGGACTGCTCAAATTCTTTATCATGTTGTTATTGTAAATAACTATTCAGTTCTACACATAGATTAGTCATCAACTAGTACTTACAAGGTTTTTTTTTAAGCAGGGATTTTTATGTATGGCATTGGACTGATATGCTCAGAATATCTAGGTTTCTCATCACCATTCATAACATTTTAGGCAATTTCACCTTTTATTTTTTTTTTCTCTGTTTCAACTTTTAGGTTCAGGGGGTACCTGTGCAAGTTTGTTACATGGGTAAATTATGTGTCACTGGGGTTTGGTGTACAAATGATTTCATCACCAGGTAGTGAGCATAGTACCTAAAAGGTAGTTTTTTGACCCTCACCCATCTGCCACCCTCCACCCTCAATAGGCCCCAGTGTCTATTCCCCTCGTTGTGTCCGTGTGTACCCCACTTATAAGTGAGAACGTGGTATTTGGTTTTCTGTTCCTGAGTTAATTCGATTAGGATAATGGTCTCCAGATGCATCCATGTTGCTGCAAAGGACATGATTTTGTTTTTTATGGCTACATAGTATTCCATGGTGTACATGGGCCACATTTTCTTTATTTAGTCCACCATTGATTGCCATCCATGTCTTTGCTGTTGTGAATAGTGCTGCAGTGAACATAGGCATTTATATGTCTTTATGGCAGAATAATTTATGTTCTTTTGAATATATGTACCCAGTAATGGGATTGCTGATCAAATGGTAATTCTGTTTTAAGTTCTTTGAGAAATGTCCAAACTGCTTCCCATAATGGCTGAACTAATTTCCATTCCTACCAGCAGCGTATAAGTGTTCCCTTTTCTCCATAACCTTGACAACAAACATCTGTTATTTTTTGACTTTTTAATAATAGCCATTCTGACTCATCTGAGATGGTATCTCATTGTGGTTTTGATTTGCATTTCTCTAATGATTAGCAATTTTACCTTTTATAGTTAAAAATATATGTATGTATTTTTTATTCCTCTTTAGGCTTATTGTACTATCTTCCTATTAGTATTTGATGGTACTATTGATGTAGCAAGTGCAGTTTGACTTTCTACCCTTGTTGCCTAAAGTAGATTTTCTAAAGTATTTGATTTTTCACCCATCGTTCACATACGTAACTTCCCGCCACCATATTTTTGTTAAAATCTTTTGACTGAGATTTGCTGTTGTGTATTACAAACTGTTTGGCAAGAACAATAACTATTTCACATTTCTTCTTTGGACTTCCTTTTCTAGTATTACAAATGCGGTGCCCAGTTTGCTTTGGTAACCCTCGGAACACTTGGTACATACACAGCATTCACAGTTGCAGTCACACGGTGGAGGTAATTTATTCCCTAGAAGCCACATAAAATTTATAAATTGTTATGCTTTTATAACAGGTATTTCATGCCTATGCAAATCTTTGTCTTACAGAACTAGATTTAGAATAGAAATGAACAAAGCAGATAATGATGCAGGTAATGCTGCTATAGACTCACTGCTGAATTATGAAACTGTGAAGGTAATATGTTTAATTATACTTTCCTCTGCCTTTCACACTGCTCTAAGATTTGATCTACCATTTAATAGGTACTGTAAGTTAGAGCTTTGGGTTAGGATATGATCTCTAGGTGTGATGGAATAATACTATTTTATTGTTTGTCTTTTGTTTAGAAACTGTCCTCTTTCCTTCTCAGTTTTTGTTTGGTACTATCAGATTTTTACCTTCTGAATTAATTTATAAGTGCTCATAAATACAGTCATGCACTGTATAATGATGTTTTGGCATCTATGATGTTGGTCCCATAAGATAATAATGGAACTAAAATGTTCCTGTCAGCAAGTGACATTGTAGCCATTGTAATGTTGTAGCACAATTCGTTACTCTATTACTCATGTGTTTCTGGTAATGCTGGTAGAAACAAACCTACTGCGCTACCCATCATTTAATATTTGATAATGATAAACTAGTATGTTAACTAGTATATGTATTTTCTACTTTTAATCATTATTTTAGAGTGTACGCCTTCTATTTCTAAAAACAAAGTTAACTGTAAAATAGCCTCAGGTAAGTCCTTCAGGAAGTATTCCAGAAGAAGGCATTGTTGTCATGGGAGATAACAGCTCCATGCATGTTATTGCCCCTGAAGACCTTCCAGTAAAAGGAGATGTGGAGGTAGAAGACAGTGATATTTGACCCTGACCCTACGTAGGTCTTGGCTAATGTGTGTGATTATGTCTTAGTTTTTAACAAAAAAGTTTAAAAAGTAAAAAAAAAAACAAAAAACCTTAAATAGAAAATAGCCTATATAATGAGGATATGAAGAAAGAAAATACTTTTGTACAGCTGTACAATGTGTTTGTGTTTTAAGCTAAGTTATTAAAAAGAGTAAAAAAGTTTTTAAAAATTTGTTTGTAAAGTTACAGTAAGCTAATTTTATTATTGAAGAAATAAAATATTAAATAAATTTAGTGTAGCCTAAGTGTACAGTGTTTATAAAGTCTACAGTAGTGTACGGTAATGCCCTAGGCATTCATATTCACTCACCACTTCCTCACTGACTCACCTAGAGCAATTTTCAGTCCTGCAAGATCCATTCATGCTAAGTGCTCTATACAGATATACCATTGCAAATCTTCTTTACCATACTTTTACTGTACCGTTTCTTTGTTTAGATACACAAATACCATTGTGTTACAGTTTTCTACAATTTTCAATACAGTAATGTGCTGTACAGGTTTGTAGCCTAGGAGCAATAGGCTATACCATATAGTCTAGGTGAGTGGTAGTCTATACCATCTAGGTTTATGTAAGTACACTCTATGATGATTGCACAGTCAAAATTACCTAAAGTATGCATTTCTCAGAACATATCTCCGTTGTTAAGTGATGCATGACTATATACCGTTAGCATCTTGATTCAGAATGAACAGTAAGCTAATCAAATTGGCATGTAAATTCTTGACTCTCTTCTATCCCTCAGAGTGCCTAGTATAGTGCTTCCCATTAATTCTTTCATTTATTTGTTCATTTTTCCATTTAACAAATAGTTACTGAATGCCTCTTATGTGTTCTAAGTGGTTTCACAGGGGAGGGTGGTAAAAAAAAGATTACTTTCTAATCCCTGCTATCCCAGAATTTTATACTATACTGAAAGAACTTAAGTATGCAGGTGACTAGATAAGAAGGCATAATGTTGTGAGAGTAGTGGGAATTGTCAATTCAGAGTCTCAGGGGAAGGCTTTGTGAAGGAAGTGTCATTGAAGATTTTGTTTTAGATCTGGGTTGGAATTAGCTAAGCATTCAGTAAATGTTCATTGGGTGAATTTTGTGGACTTTTCAAATACAATTCATTATGGAAAGCTGCAGGGATATCATAGTACAATATATTGAAAGTCAATTTTTAAAATGGAATCTACAGTACAAAATTGTATTCATACTTGAAGTCTGATGAAAAGTATACTGATCACTTAAGAGAATAAATTTTAATTATACTTGCCCATAGTTATTTTTATATATTTTGTAGTATTTTAATAATGAAAGATATGAAGCACAGAGATATGATGGATTTTTGAAGACGTATGAGACTGCTTCATTGAAAAGTACCTCTACTCTGGCTATGCTGAACTTTGGTCAAAGTGCTATTTTCAGTGTCGGTTTAACAGCTATAATGGTGCTCGCCAGTCAGGGAATTGTGGCAGGTAATGGGTCTGTGGCTATCACATTTACAGGCTGTTCAACTTTTATAAAGATTAATGAAAGGAATGTGTATGCGTATCTCTTAATTATAAAGGATGTTAAAGTGCTTTAACATCCTTGGAGTACTTTTCTCTTTGTATCAGAATGTATTTGCTTGATTGTTTGATAATGGTTTTTTAACTTCCTTTTGTTTAGTGCTGGCTCACTCATTGATTGGGATTACTGTTTGTAACTACCTGATCTTTTAAGAACAACTTTTTTTTTTAGCATCTAGTTTTTCTAATTTTTCTTGTAGACTTGTAGAGCAATGTAATTAATTTAGTGTTTAGTTCAAAGGACTAAACTGCAAACACTCTTTTTTTAAGAATTACCAGGAACCTTTTAATCTTTCTACTCCTTTTTTTACTTGCAAAACACTTCAAAAGTAAATGTCTGCTCCTCCTTTCTGTAAACTCCCCCCACCCCCACTCAGTTAGTATTCATTCATTCACTGTGACCTAAATATGTTTTCCACATATTTAGGTCACAACAACATTTTGTTGTTGTTGTTGTTTCATTTTGTTTCCTTTAACTTGATGTACATCAGAATGGTTTATCATCCTTAATCGTGATGTCTATTTTCTCCAATTTATAATGTATACTAATTTTTAAATTTCTATGTTACACTACAAAGAAACCGTTACTAGTGTCTTAGGGAAAAAAGAGAAACTTTTTAGCCTTCCATTTCTATCCTCACTTAAACCATTCTTTTTTGTGTATTATATATAGTGTATAGGTAGGCCTTTCCCATTCCTCTTAACATATACTAAGTTCCCTGTATTACCTAAATCATGGATTAATGCTTTGAAATTGAGTTGACATAAGAGTTGTTGCTGATTAAGAATATTTTGTTCTGTGATAATAGACTATAAACCTCTCTATCTTAAATTGGGAAAGTATGTAACATTTATCTAAAATACCCTTTTTTTTCTTCTGCCAATTGCATATTAAGGCACCCTTACTGTTGGAGATCTAGTGATGGTGAATGGACTGCTTTTTCAACTTTCATTACCCCTGAACTTTCTGGGAACTGTATATAGAGAGACTAGACAAGCACTCATAGATATGAACACCTTGTTTACTCTACTCAAGGTAGACACCCGAATTAAAGTAAGTAATCCATATAGCACCTTTTCAAAAGTATGTGAACATCATCCCATTAGTAGGATTATTCTAGGAATATTCCTACATCACCACGTTAGCAAGCCCAATTTCTTTTACTTGCAGGAATTGGCAGGGGAGTGCGGTGCTATCACCTGTATTAAGAGGTTGTTAGAGCTTTCACTTCTATGTTTAAAAACCTAGCCACGCATGGTGGCTCACGCCTGTAATCCCAGCATTTTGGGAGGCCGAGGCGGGCGGATCACCTCAGGTCAAGAGTTCTAGACCAGCCTGACCAACATGAAGAAACCCCGTCTCTACCAAAAATATAAAATTAGCTGGTTGTGGTGGCACATGCCTGTAATCCCAGCTACTCGGGAGGCTGAGCCAGGAGAATCGCTTGAACCCGGGAGGCGGAGGTTGCGGTGAGCCGAGATCGTGCCATTGCACTCCAGCATGGGTAACAAGAGCGAACTCCGTCTCAGCATAAATAAATTAAATAAATAAATAATAAAAATCTTACAATGTTAATGAAGACTTATACTAGAAAGTAAATTTTGTTAAGTTGAATTATTTGTACTTACACTGAATTTAGTTATCTAATAATGACACAGAATGTATGATTGCCTCTCCTCGCATCCTCAACCCCATTCCTCCCCTGCCCATCATCCCTTCTCCCTCCCCACCCCCCCCTCAAAAAAAGTTGCTCAGAAACCAAAACATTCAGGGTTTGTTTTACCTTGGCCATGAAGCATGAGAAAACAAATCTTTAATTGCATGCTTGGAAGTGGTCTAAGTCCACTTATAAACCTCCTTCTTTTCCATAATTTCCTTTTTCTTTCTGTGAATTAGAAAATTGTCTTCATAGCTGTACTCTAGGCAGTGTGTAAAGTGGCTTTTTTTTCTCTTCCCTGCTAGGACAAAGTGATGGCATCTCCCCTTCAGATCACACCACAGACAGCTACCGTGGCCTTTGATAATGTGCATTTTGAATACATTGAGAGCCAGAAAGTCCTTAGTGGAATATCCTTTGAAGTCCCTGCAGGAAAGAAAGTGGCCATTGTAGGAGGTAGTGGGTCAGGGTGGGTAATTTAGTTATTTGTAAAATTCTGTATTATAGACTGATGATTCCCAATGTAATATTTTTTTCTTTATTATAATGAAAATGATTACTGTGGTTTAAAACTGGGTTTTCCTAACATTAATAGGAGCTAAATAACCTTTCTTCATCTCCAATTTCAGGAAAAGCACAATAGTGAGGCTGTTGTTTCGCTTCTATGAGCCTCAAAAGGGTAGCATTTATCTTGCTGGTCAAAATATACAAGATGTGAGCCTGGAAAGCCTTCGGAGGGCAGTGGGAGTGGTACCTCAGGTATTTAAAAACAGAAAAAAACAAATTTTTGGAAGATTTATTGGGTTGATCAATCTGTAACTAGAACAATTTGAATCAAGGGATCAACATATGCTACTGAACTAGTCAATATTAGACCCTACCAGTGAAGTTCTGGTACCAAAAGGGATTTTTTAAAAAAGGAAAGGAAAAAAACTTGAAGGGAAAATCTGCATGATAGGAAGCCCTGGAATGATAGCATAATAGAATAGAAAGAGCACAGACCTGGATGCTAACCCCATCTCTAACCGTCATTAGTTCTGTGGCCTGGGGCCTCCGTTTTCTCATCTGTAAAATAAGGACGCCATTTATCTTTTAGGATAGAATTATTATAATTATTATTATGGATTAGAGATAATAAATGTAAAATACCAAATCTATCACATAATTGTTCAGAAAATGAAAACTACTATTGTAATTTGGAACAGTTTTCAACATAGTGGATTTATAATAATTACAAAGTAGCTTGACTGCCAACCTCAATTTTGTATGCCTTGTTAACCACTTTGCCTTCAGTACCAAGCACAGTGCCTAACCCATGTTAAACATTTAATAAACATTTCTTGTGTTACTTTGGAGGGAAAATAAATTCAAAGTAAGGTCTGAGAAGTTAAGAAGTAGATAACCTTTATAGGATGTGAGCTTTTCTATGATGAAAGCTTATAGAGAGACCTGGGAATTAGTTGTAGCCAGTATGTATTATAAAGTTGATTTCTGGGGCCAGAATCAAATCCCTGGGAGAGTAGATCAAAATATGGGTAGAGGAAGAACTGTAAGAGAGTTATTGGATGGGGATATGTGACTTGCAAAATGTCCCCCAAATGATCCCACACATGGACTCTTCTCTGTCCTCTTTTTCACTGAAAATCCCACATGTTAGCATGAGTCATTTAGAGAAATTATTGGGTAACTATGTGAGATGATGGATATGTTAATTTGTTCATTATAGTAATCATTTTACTATATGTATCTCATAACATCATGTTCTATACCTTAAATATATACAATACCATTTATAAATTTTAAAAAATCATATCATTTAAATTGGATTAGATAATCTAATTTAATAATTCCAGTTCTTTCTCACATACCCCAGTTACAATTTTGGAGGACTATGTGGGGCCCAGAAACCTGCCTTTTTGAAAACGCCTCCTAGGTTATTCTGTTAGAGATGTTTCATAGATTGTATGTTAAGTAACGCTAATCTAGCCCGGGCACAGTGGCTCACGCCTGTAATCCCAGCACTTTGGGAGGCCGAGGCAGGCAGATCGCCTGAGGTCGGGAGTTCAAGACCAGCCTGGCCAGCATGATGAAACCGCATCTCTAGTAAAAATACAAAAATTAGCTGAGCATGATGGCAGGCGCCTGTAATACCAGCTACTCGGGAAGCTGAGGCAGGAGAATTGCTTGAATCCAAGAGGCAGAGGTTGTAGTGAACCGAGATTGTGCCATTGCACTCCAGCCTGGGCAACAGAGCGAGGCTCAGTCTCAAAAATAAAAAAGAGAAAAAAGAAAGAAAAAGAAACACTAATCTAAACTGTGTGTCAAGTGAATTGGATTCTGAGCTGTGACTACTTAGGATTCAGTGTCCTCATCCATGTAAATAGATTCCTGCCATTCTCTTGGGCTTTGTAACAATTATCCTCATCCTTTTGAGAAGTAGCACATTCACAAAGGGAAAATATACATGATCAATAAACAAAAGACTCTCATCCTCATTGGAGGCCTTAGCAATATAAATTAAGTCAACAACAGAATATGTGTCATTTTTTCATCTATCAGATTGGCAAGGATTTTGAAATTCCTAATATTCAGTTTGGGCAAGACTGTGTAAAATGGACAATCTCTTGTTTTGCTGGTGGAAGTATACAGCTTTCCTGACAAGCAAATTGGCAATGTGTATCAAGTGCCTGAAAAATATTCATACCCTTTATTCCAATAATTCTGCCTGTAGGAGATTTTAGTAAGGAAATAAACAGAGATGTGGACAAGTCTTTATATGCAAAGATGTTCATTACAGCATTATTTATAGTAGCATCAGTTGGAAACAATGTAAATGTCCAACAGTAAGTAGATGGTTACATTATTATCATAGGATCAGAGTCATGCAGCCATTCATAAATATTGTGTTTTTAAAGAATATTGTCATGAAAAATATGCAAATACAAAGTATTAAAAAGGAGGATAGCAAGCAAAATATAGTATCCTGGTTTTATAATACTAGATGAATACATTTCAGTAGAGAAAAAAGATAGGAGAGAATATCAAAATGTAATAGTAGATCTTGCTACATGATGGGAATATGGATTATTTAAGTTTTAATTTATTACATGTATATATTTAAGATATCTCACATGATGTTATGAGATACATATAATTAGGTTACTGTAGAGAAGCAAATTAACATGTCCATCATCTTACAGTTACCTATGTTTTTGTGGCTAGAGCAGCTAAAATCTACCCATTTAGCAGAAATTACACAAAAAAATCAGTATTTATTTTATATTAGTTTTTATATTTTCAAAATTTCCACCTAGCATATTTAGCTTTTTCCTAAATATAAATTATTTAAAAATAAGCAGTTTCTGTTTATACAATGAGCTTATTGAGTTTAAGTATAATCTCAATATGAGAAATTTTATTAATAATAGGTATATAAATGATTTAAATACTGTTTAAAGCAATATATGAAATTCTTGATCTGATTATGATGTTCAGGAAGATGGGTATCCTGGTTAATATGAACTAATGGAGTCATTTTATTTCACCTAACCATAGCCTTCCAACCATTTAGAGATTGAAAGAAAAATAGGGGATGGATGCTCACTTGAAGAAAATTAACTTTAGCGTGCCATGTGAGAATAAGTTGAAATACCAAATGAATGCTTGAAGTGAACTTTCTCCAAAAATATATATAGTGCATAAATTCTTTGTTTTCTGTTTTAATGCCAATGTCAAAGCTTCTTAGAAAATAGGAAAACATATTCAAACCTCATTAGTAATTAGGGAAATGCTAATTTGAACAAAAAGCACATTTTTCCCCTAAGAGTAGCAACAACTAAAAATTATTAATATCCAGTGTTTCTGAATATATGAGGAACTGGCACCCTCATATGCCATTGGTAGTGTGTACTTATACATTATTGGTTGCTGGTAGGGCCATATTTGGAAGACATTTGGGCAATAATAGCAAAGGATAAATGTATGCTTAACTTTTAACTCATCAGTCTACTTCTAGGGATTCTTCTTACAGAAACACACAGGTGTACAAAGTCATATACATAGTTTTATTCCAACATTGTAGTAGCAACAATTTGGAAATCACATTAATATCCATCAGTAGGAGAATATATACATAAATTATGATGTTTCCATAGTATGGAATATACAACTGTTAAAAAGAATGAGTTAGTTTTCTGTTATTGACATGGACAATCTCCAGGATACGTTAAGTGAAAAAAGCAATTGCAAAATAATATGTGTAGAATGACCACACTTGTGTTGGAGGGAAAAAAACATATGTTTATATATATAAATTCGCAGGAACAAGTCTGGAATGATACACACTAAATTGTTTATGATGACTACCCCTGGTAAGGGAATGGGATTTCGCAGATGAGGGATGATGAAAGGGACTGTCATGTTTTACCCTTTATGCCTTTGTCTCTTTACTGTTTGAGTTTTTAATAATGAACATATATATATAGAGAGAGATAGATATAGATATAGATATATATTCATTCAGTATATCTGCTTCAGGATGCTGTCCTCTTCCATAATACTATTTATTACAACCTCTTATATGGAAACATCAGTGCTTCACCTGAGGAAGTGTATGCAGTGGCAAAATTAGCTGGACTTCATGATGCAATTCTTCGAATGCCACATGGATACAACACCCAAGTAGGGGAACGAGGACTCAAGCTTTCAGGTGATCAGAGATTTTAGACCTGCCCCCTTCTTGTATACTTCTTTCAAACTCTAATTGTCAGAGCCATGTTTTAGAAAATGTAATGAGAGACTTCAAAATGTAGTGCTCATTGAGTCACATTTGATTGGGTTACTAATCTCCTAGCTCTCACTGTAACCAATTCAACATACTAGTAACTATTCTCAAGTCATGCAAGTCTTTTTTTTTTTCACTTGCAGCTGCAAACACTGTAGGTGTTTGATATTAAGTAAGTTATCAAAATATGCTCAGATCATTACTAACTTGTTATCTATAGTCTTCGTGGTAAAGCAAAAACAATATCATTCTTTACCTGGGAAAGTAGTGAGGGTAGGGAGAAGTAATTTGATAATGAATAGTGTATATCTCTCATCATAACTTCCTAGATCATTAGATGTTTTCAGTACTTTAGACCTCTTTATATTTGATCCTGTTACCTGCTATATTTTCCTTACAGCCAACTTCATTTTCATGTCCTTTGTTCTGTGGCCAAGGATATTTTGAGGCTTATACATTTCTTGTTAAATGTTTAATTATGAGATTGCTAGGTTTAAGAATGAATTACCCTAAAATGACTGATTTTTTTTGGAGGACACAGAAAAATGTTTCTTTACCCCCAAATTATTTGAATTTCAAAAGTATAGCAATGTCTAGTTTAGTTTGGGGAGGAAATGTATCCATTATAGATAGAGGTAAGGCAAAAATAGAATGAGAAATACTCTATGTGAATTTTAGCGAATCCCCATTCCTCTTCATTACAAACTGGCTTCATTTATTAGATACACACTATGTGCAAGCTACTATGCTAAATGATTTGAAAGTTTAAAAAATGAAGCATAAACAGGTCTGTTTCCCAGGAATTGGCAGTCTGTTAGAAAGTTTTGGGCTAGGTTTAGAAAATTTTAAGCAAAGATTACTTTCAAGTTAAGTTGGTTGGGTCATTACCTGGTAGTATAAGATGCCGGTATCATTCCAGTCCACATTTGCACTTTATTACTGCTTTTAATAGGAGTAATTTCCAATTATCTGGCCCACCCCCAAATTATGTGTCCATTTGGCTAATTCTGGCAATCCCTAATTTATCATGTAATATGAACTAGCCCTCTTAATGCATGACTTTGCCTCAGCCAGCTATGCTGTGTTCTGTTTTGTAATCTTATTTTTCCTTTCTGCATGCCTGTGGGGGATAGGAATAGCTAAAGAAATTTTATTCTTACCTATTTCCCATTTCCTTACAACCATACCTCTCAAAATGAACAATTTATTATTTAGCATCTATGCTAATAATTATGTTAGAGAATAAACAGACATTTCTTCTCCGAGTTCCAAAATACTATTGAATAGAATTACAATTTAGTTGGTTTCCACTTGAAATTTGAGAGGCACTTCAAAACCAGTCCTTCCTCTGAATATCTACTTCTTTGAGGAGCTTTCTGCTACTGGGTTGATAGGTAGGCAGGAAGATAGTACTTATGGTACCTGCCTCGTAAGGAGAATTTTGATCTTGTGAGGTGGGGAAGCATATGGCTAGCATAAATATAAACTTACTAATATTAAAAATAAGGAGCCCCTTTATAGGCCAAAGAGAATAATTGTAGAACACGTAAAAATAAAAATATTTAATGTACCAGATAATGGTTAGAGCTTATTTCTTAAAGAGGTTACTTAAGCTGAAAAATATGTTTTTTCAGACATTGATAATGTATAATAGACAAGAAAAGAAGCTAAAAGGCACATAGTCAGCAGAGTACCATCTTCTGTACTTCCAACTATAGTTCTATATAAGATTGATGACCTTAGACCTACAGTAGTCCCAGTAATAAAAGAAAGGTTTCTATACATTTCACTGCATATTTTCCCTATTTATTTAAGAAATACTTTCAAAATATTTATTCTTGTGTTTAGGAATAAATGTGGGCTTACACATTGTGATAAGAAGAGCATTGGACTGGAATGGGTCTAGTCCAGGTTCTTGCTCGGTGACCGTGAGCAAATCACTTAACTTTTCTGGGCCTATATCCTTTCTATTTTAAAAATTTGATATGCTAGAGACCTATAGTAAATACCTAAATAAAGGAAGATATATCTAGTATATGCCTTTAACTTTGAAGAATGCTGTAAAAATAATAGCTTTCTGTCAAAAAACAATCCTTGAGAATACTGGCTGAATGCTACTTTTTTATCTTAAGAGACGAATTCAGTTATTCATAGTTTAATGTCTTGAGGTTTCAGATATTGATTTTTTTGGCATTGTCAATTCTGTCATTGAAATTTTCTGAGATTGCTGTTCATTGAGAATTATCTGTAATATAAAGTAACACATAATGAGCATACTTCTGGTAGAATAATAATAGTAGAATCAAAGTTGTTACCTTCCTGCCTCATTCTCATTCTTCCCACCTGCTATGAAGCCAGAATTCAGTAGTGCATTCATGTTTAAGGGAATGTAATTTGTCAAAAGATATTATATATGAACTTCAACTCTACAACTCAGTAAAATGAACTGTGATCAGGAGAATAGGGAAATGTTCAATGTATTACGTGGTGGTTGTAATCAATGGAAACACTAGAAACATAAAATATGCATGCACTATGCTGCCTTAAAGTGAACTTTTCCTTTACCAGGAGGAGAAAAGCAAAGAGTAGCAATTGCAAGAGCCATTTTGAAGGACCCCCCAGTCATACTCTATGATGAAGCTACTTCATCGTTAGATTCGATTACTGAAGAAGTAAGTTATGATTAAAATATAAAACTCTTTATTTTTTTATTTTTATTTTTTTATACTTTAAGTTCTAGGGTACATGTGCATAACGTGCAGGTTTGTTACATATGTATACTTGTGCCATGTTGGTGTGCTGCACCCATCAACTCGTCAGCACCCATCAACTCGTCATTTACATCAGGTGTAACTCCCAATGCAATACCTCCCCCCTCCCCGTGATAGGCCCCGGTGTGTGATGTTCCCCTTCCCAAGTCCAAGTGATCTCATTGTTCAGTTCCCACCTATGAGTGAGAACATGCGGTGTTTGGTTTTCTGTTCTTGTGATAGTTTGCTGAGAATGATGGTTTCCAGCTGCATCCATGTCCCTACAAAGGACACAAACTCATCCTTTTTTATGGCTGCATAGTATTCCATGGTGTATATGTGCCACATTTTCTTCATCCAGTCTGTCACTGATGGACATTTGGGTTGATTCCAAGTCTTTGCTATTGTGAATAGTGCCGCAATAAACATACATGTGCATGTGTCTTTATAGCAGCATGATTTATAATCCTTTGGGTATAAATTTACAAGAAACAAACAACCCCATCAAAAAATGGGCAAAGGATATGAATAGACATTTCTCAAAAGAGGACATTTATACAGCCACCAGACACATGAAAAAATGCTCATCATCACTGGCCATCAGAGAAATGCAAATCAAAACCACAATGAGATACCATCTCACACCAGTTAGAATGGCAATCATTCAAAAGTCAGGAAACAACAGGTGCTGCAGAGGATGTAAAGAAATAGGAACACTTTTACACTGTTGGTGGGATTGTAAACTAGTTCAACCATTATGGAAAACAGTATGTCGATTCCTCAAGGATCTAGAACTAGAAGTACCATATGACCCAGCCATCCCATTACTAGCTCTTCAATGTTTAATACTTGGAAGTTTCAGTAAAATGGCTGCATTACTTTGTATTTTAAATAAACTTCAATAGTAAGTGCTATAGAGTAAAATGCCTATCTCCCCTTTTCCATATGGCAAGTGTTGATGGTAAGAATGCCAGGTTGCATTGAACTAGAAATACCACAGTGTTAAGTCCATTTGCAAATGTGTCTCCTTTTGGAACTATGTGATAACTTATGCTGTTGTTGCATTGCCCCTGCATCTTACAAAGCTGTAGGAATCACCTGATATGCTGACAAAGGAAGAAAGTTTCAGTCTCTCTCCTATTGCCACTTAATACTCATTAAAATAGTCATGGAAGTGATTGTGAAACCTGTGACATAGTACATACCAGATAGTCTTTCACTTATCATGGAGCAACTCATGAGATGCAAGTCAGGCATACACAAGCTGCAGTGTTGATATCAATTTGTATTCATTTCACTGGAAGTGTTATGAAACACCAAGATGTGACACTGATGTCATGACATTGTCCCACAGCTGCGTTAGATTTCATAGCAACATCTTTACATTACATACAAAAGTCTCAACAACAATGGTAATTTCATTATCATATCCCCTTAATCTAGAACTGAAGATAGACAGATGCATTTGTCAATTGCCTTCATTCAACTACCTTTTAATTCAATACATAGTGTAAACCTAGCGTTGAAGGATAGGCCTAATTCAGCTTTGCAAGCTGTGTGACATAATATTTGCATACAGAGTTAAGTTTCAGGGCCCATTGTTTGATCTGCAGCATATTTAAAGCAATTGAATTTTGAAGTGAATTGGTTAGCCTGGGGATTTGTTATATTTAAAGTGAACCATAAGCAGGATCAGACCCCATTCATAGGAAAAGTAGGAACATGCTTATAAGAACTTTTTACCTAAAAATGTGTCATACTACCACAAACTAAAAGACCTACCAACAGTCATTATTTGAGTCATACAGCTTTATTATGTCAGAGAGCATAACCCATTAAGAGCCAACAGACAACCTCCCCAAGGGGAGGAGTTATTGGAAGATTTGGTAAATTTTAATGGGACTTTTTAAAAAGTCCAGTGTCTTCAGTAGGATGTCAGAGTTTAAGTTGTTAAAGGTTAAAAAAGGAGTCCTCACAAACATAACAGGCTTTCTTAGTATTGGCCTTGTACCTTATTATCAGTCTGCCCTAGTAAAATATAAGATCTTTTCCTGGGTAACCATTTGCTCTTGATAATTTTATTCCTTTAATAAATAAAATGTTCAGAAATATTCATAGGAAATTTGGGTATTTCCCCATTCCCCACACTGCTGTTTCCATCTAGCTTGCTGTACTTAGACCCAGGTTTCCAAGTATAGCTGAATATATATACAACTCTTATACTTTACAGGGAATAAACAAAAATATATTTCCGGGATGCATTAGGAAGTCAGAATGCTTTTGAAAAAGAGGTTTCTGCAGTTAAAAATATACAGTTATCATTGTTTCCCCTTCTGTCCTCTGAGTTTGAACTAAGGAAAAGCAAATGTTCCTATAGTCTTTGAATCTCCCTATCTTTGGATTATTTTGAATTTCTGTCTGTCCTATCACTTAAGTCTCTCCTCATTTTAGTTTTGTTCTCATTGGTAAACATATGTGGCTATGTTCCTGTTATCATGAGAGTTGATATGTTTACTACTTATAATGTTTACTACTTTCTCCCAGATTTTGTAATTTTGAGAAATGTTGCCTATCTTAAAGAATTTTTTTCTATGATAATATGATCATATTTGCCTTCTCTTTTTGCTTTCTCCCCTTCCTTTTAGCAATTATTAGATTAGGTGTAATATTTGGTATCAGTATAAAATTTACATAATAAAAGATTAACTGGCATTTTTTGTGTTCCTTTAGGAAATGTATGATTATTTTAATTTCCATTTGCCTAATACATAGTTCTTTTTATTTTCTCCTGTTCTTCATATTACCAAACTTGCAGACTATTCTTGGTGCCATGAAGGATGTGGTCAAACACAGAACTTCTATTTTCATTGCACACAGATTGTCAACAGTGGTTGATGCAGATGAAATCATTGTCTTGGACCAGGTAAGAGATTTAACTTTGAAGTTTAGTATTTGAGGAACACTGGAAATTGTTATAGATACAAGAAGCTTAAATATTGTTTCTTACATTATTTGGTTGAGATTGAATCCTGATAAAATTCTGTTTTTAGCCCCTTTTGATTGGAAATAATGCATGTCACTTCCAAGAAGGAATAAACTATATTAACTCACTCTCTATTAAAGTATTACAAACAAAAGTTTAATCAGGAAAGCATTAAATCTTCACAATAGAAGCAGGTTTTCAATGGTGCATATATAAAATAACTTTTCTGCATTCATTTTTGCTCTGAATAGACTATTTGCTCAGTGTCTTTGCTGTATTATATATTTTTATTTTTCTAATACCTGCACATACCCTTGATGGTTAAAAGAAAATTACCATAAAATAAAGTGGTCATTTTCAAACATGGTCATTTTTATTTTATGTTTTTCCTTCTCGGGAAAGTAAGAAAAATATAGCCTGCTTTATCTCTTCTAAGGAAATTACTATACGAGTATACTGTAAAAGTCTAGACAAATCAGAGTACCACTATTGTGATGCGTAGATTTGAAAATTGCAATAATTTTTATTTTCTCCTTCCTGTAAGGACCTCTTCTCCCCACACCCGCCTAGTACTTGATTATTTCTAACATTATGCAGTTTTCTACCCTGCATTCAGCCTTTTCTGTAATTATTTTTCCCTTCTAATAAATATATATTCAATTCTTTATCATTTTGGTTTTTTTTTTTTCTTTTTGAGGCATGGTCTTACTTTGTCACCCAGGAGTACAGTAGCACGATCTCAGCTCACTGCAGCCTCGACCTCCTGGGCTCAAGCAATCCTCACACTTCAGCCCCCCAAGTAGCTGGGACTACAGGCACGTGCCTCACGCCCAGCTAATTTTTTGTAGAGATGGGGTTTCACCATGTTGCCCAGGTTGGTCTCGAACTCCTGAGCTCAAGCGACCTGTCTGCCTCACCCCGACAAAGTACTAGGATTACAGGCATAACCACCACGCCTGGTCACATTTTGAAAACCTGTGTAATAAGAGTTTAGAGAGAAGCATTCTCATGTACTATCTGTATATTGAACTATTTAAAGGGACTTTTTCACTCCACTAAAATTTCTTATAGGGTATTCAGTGTTATGGTTTGTATACTATTACCTTCATAAGTTGCTTGCATGCTTGTGACCCTAGGCCTTTCTGTTGGTTTGTTCTTAAATATTTACATTCATTACCAAACTGATTTTTCCGGTATGGTTGTACCAGAATGTCTTAAACGGGAAATTTTGTAAATATACCTTATTATATCATTGATGTTCAAGAATATTAAATAAAATCTGCTACTTTTTTATAAGCTTTCTGATTCTATGCAGCCATTTAGTGAGAGCCTTTTTTTACAAATAGAAGTTGTTAAAATATGTTAGCAGGCATGTGATCGCCTGCCTCATGCCATGTAATTCATAGTATCTATATACTTATTTTATACCATTGCCACTTGGATTTTGGGTTGTAATTGGACCTAATTTATTACTGATCATAGCAACTGTGTCTAAAGAAGAATCTCTTTATTATTCATAATTTGATGATTCTGTAGTTGTCTGATTATGAACATAACAGATTTTCATTTTCTAGTGAAACTAATATGACCTTAACTTTGACTAATAATCTGTCACCTCCTGTGTTCTGTCAGCAATTTCTTATAGTAGTGTTAATGTTAAGACGGCATATCTAGGGAACTTCTAGTTAAACGTGGAAGGTTGGATACATTTGTTTATCTCTTCTTCCCCTAACCATACTAAAATGAAAGTTAATAAATAAAATAAGTATAATAAGTATAAAGCCATAAGGACAAAATAATAGGAGAGGAAATAACAGTGGACAAGAGATATCAGCAAACTGGGGAAACTGGTAAGTAGATAGATTAGCAGAGCTAAAAAGTTCAATACTGTGTGTGAAAAAGAGAGAGACATCAATTTTTTAAAAAAAGCAAATTGATTCATGTTGTAGACCCCTGAAAAGGCTCAGGAATTGAAGGCACCAGGTATGATGAAAAGTGGTGATAAGCATGAGGTTGAAAGTAACAATTAAGTGTAAGACTGCATAAGAAATAAAGTTCCTTAGCACGAGTCTGGAGATTTACTTATCAGGAAATTACTGGCTTTGGACACAAGCAGACCACCAGGCACATTAACAATGAAGGGAGAGATTAACTGAAAATCAAAACATACCAAAGGATAGGACCACAGGCCCTCTTGTGCCACTGGCTCCAAGAACTTTGCCAACCAGTTGTTTATTTTACCATCACTACTCCTTTCCTCATCAGCAAATAATTGGAGGATTCTTCTCTGGAGAAACAAAAGCAGCCCCAGGAAAAAAAAAAAAAAGATACTTGTATTTGGGAACCCCAACAAAATGTCCAGATATCTACATAATCATCCTACCATGAAGTCCACTGGTTTAGAAGGCATCGTAATGCACACAGAGCTTCCAGTCAGCCTTTCAATGCTCTATTCTTAAATGTCAGTGGATAGACCTCCAAAACAGAAAAAAAGGAACTCAATGGAAAATGTAGACTTTCTTAATATGCTCAGAGATCGTGGAAAATATAGTATTTCTAAAATAAGGACAGAAGAAAAAAAAGTAACCTGTAATCCCAGCTACTTGGGAGGCTGAGGTGAGAGGATGACTTGAGCCCAGGAGGTGGAGACCAGCCTGGACAACATAGTGAGACTCTGTCTCCAAAAATTAAAAACAACAACAAAAAAAAAAGTAAAGGAAACTTATATGGCCTGATCTGTAGGATATATTGGTAAGTGGGAAAAAAAAAGTAGATATAAAAGAGAATATAGCATGCTACCTTTTGCAAAGAAGATAGGGAAAAAAAGAATATATGTATATCTGCTTATTTTTGCAAAAAGAAACTCAAAGGGTAAACTAGAAACTAAAGCAATTGGCTGCCTATGGGATGCGGGTACAAAGGGTTAGATACAGAAAAGAGAATGAAGTTTTAATATTTTACTTTTGAACCATGCTTAGTATTTTTATACCTTCAAAAATAAAATTAAATCAACAAGGGGAAAAATAAAAATTAAATACAAACAGAAAGAAGTAAAACTAATTGCATATAAAATTGCTAACATAACCACCCAGAAGAAAAATAGAATTAAGCCAAGTAACTTTTGAACATATTACTTTGATTATATACCCTTCGTGGAATATATTTTAAAGACAAAAATAACCCAAAGGAAATTCGAACTTAGTGTATTGTTGGTAGTAGTGTGGGGGTAACCATTTTGAGACTATTTTTGTGTATAGTGTAAGATTGAGCTTATGAGTAAATACATTGATGTTGGGAAACAGATCTCTTGGGAGAAGAAAGATACAAATATGGAATTGGCAAAGAAGAGGAGACCCTTGCGATATATTGGAATAGAATTATCAGTCTGAATTTATGATTTTAAAAAAATGTCCTAACTCTATTCACTGAAGAGGCCTAGAAGCGGTGAAAACCCAGTAGTAATGAGTATACTTGGCAACTAGATCTTGGGCACTAAATACTGTTCCTCACTAAAAGCAACCAACACTCTTTGGAGAAGTAGTTGATTCCTGATCTGGGTCAGGGAAACTAACGAACACAAGTCATGAGGACACAGGAACCATTTTGAATGAGCTCCCACTAGCCAATTGGGGCATAAAAAGAATAATGACACTAATTAATTATAATACACTGAATAAAAAACATCTATGCATCCATGATGATACTGCTAAAACAAAAATTATCAAGGGAAAAGGGACAGTTCCCCTTTAGGAAGAAAGCCAAATAACACATGAAATGTAAAAGGAATTACAAATTTAGAAAATCACATTTTACAGCCACCATTGTAATAATTGATTCAGGTAAGGGTCCTCACTCGTTGCTGAAACCATGTGGTGTAAAGCTATTGAGGCTAGAATATTTGCACGGTTTACAATTACCATAGATTACTTACTAATTAGAGAAAAAAATACCTTGAAAATAGAGAAATAGAGAAACTGGTAGATGTCACCTTAACCAAATGATCAAACCTAATATCAGTAATGGAGCAAAATTGAACTCATGTACCTCCTGATGTAATGCACTGAAGATATATTATCTTTTCTTTCTACCCAAAATGTTTAACCTGGGCTGGGCGTGGTGGCTCATGCGGGTAATAACAGCACTTTGGGAAGCAGAGGTGGGAGGATTACCTGAGCCCAGAAGTTCGAGACCAGCGTGGGCAATATAGCAAGATCCCATCTCAAAAAAACAAAAGTTTAGCCTGGATCTAATAATCAGAAACAACTAGACAAATACAAATTGAAGGGCAGTCTTTTAAAAGCAGGACTGGACATTTTAGAAATATCAACGTCACAAACACACACACACAGACTAGAACAAAGCTGTTATAAATTCAATGCGTTGATCCTGATTGGATCCTAGATGGAAAAAAAGTATAAAGGACATTATTGGTACAATCGATGAAGTCTGAATATGGACTGTATGTTAAATAAGAATATCATATCATTGTTCAGTTTTTTTTGTTGGGTTTTTTGTTTTTTGGTTTTTTTTTGGTAGAGATGGGCGGGGGCAGGTATCTTATCATGTTGCCCAGGCTGGTCTCAAACTCCTGGACTCAAGCAATCCTCTCATCTCAGCCTCCCAAAGAACTGAGATTACAGGCATGAGCCACCATGGCCAGCCATTGTTAAATTTCCTGAGTGTGATATAGTTGTATTTAAGTCATATAGGAGAATGTCTTTGTTTTTAGGGGATACATGCTAATGAAATATTTAGGGGTGAAATGTAATGATGTCTGCAGCTCATTCTCAGATGGTGTAGCAAAAAAATAATGTATATATAGAGAGAAGGTGAGGTGGAGAAAGCAAATGTAAGAAAAAATAACGGTTGCCAAACTAGGAGAAGCATATAGAGTTGTTCATTGTATGACTCTTGAAATATTTCAAAATTTTAAAATGGGTTTGGTAAATAAATAAATAAAGGAACGACCTGAGAACAAGATTTTAGAAATGAGAAATGTCTTTGCTGAAATAAAGTCGAGAAAATCTCCAAAAGAGAGAGAATATAGAGAAAAGATCAGAAAACAAGAGAATTTGTCTAAAAAGTCCAACATCTGACTAGTGGTAGTTCTAGAGAGGCCAGAAACAGGGGAGGAAATTGTCAAATAATAGGTTGTTGCAAAAGTTATTGTGTTTTTTGCCATAGAAAGTAATACCAAAAAAGTGTCTAGAACTTCAGAGCAAGAGTTTCTAGATTGAAAGGGCCTGAGTACCCACCACAATGAATGGAAAGGAAGAATAAAGCTATATCAGGGCACATTATCATACAACTTCAGTGTTGAGGATGTAGAAAACAACCTAAAAGCTCTGAAGGAAATATCTCTGGGTGGTGGGGGGAAATAAACTAATAGATTACCTAATGTAGTTGATTATGAGAAAAATACTGTTGAAAAGGGTTTTGTAATTCTGTAATAAACTTTGGAGAGATTTCCAATAGTGACATAGAAAACTAAGCAAATGAAAAAGAAACAAGCAAGTTACTAAGTCTAGCAGGATTAAAAGACTATATAAGAAAATGTATATATAATCCTAGTACCTACTTAGCTAAGCAGGGAATACTTACATAGTCGTAATAAGGTAAACACTGAATCAAAATTTGTGACGTAACTGATGTTATTAGGAGAGTAAATGATGGAGTAGTGGGAATGTGGGATAGTATGAGTGTTGAATCTCCGTATTCCATAATAGGGAGTTAGTAGATAATGCCAGAAATGAATAAATCAAGAAACAGCAGTATAACCTTACATGTAAATACTTAAAAGTAGGCACAGACAAATTTCAGTTATTTTACTTAAGGGTTTATTGTAAAAGTCCTGTTCCCAGGAATACCAGTAAAAGTGACAGAATTCCTTTTGTCTCTCAGCATGGTTAACCATAGCTATCAAGAAACAAATTAATTGTAGATCAGAGTTTGGAATCTATACCACCAGATCTTTGCAGTGTTAAGTTTAATAACCATTGTTAACAAAAACAGCTGCTGGAAGAAGTAAACTTTTCATCTTTTTTATTTCAAAGTACACATAAGGATTTAAGGATATTATTTTTAAATCTTTTAAATGCCTGTGTAAATAGCAGTGCTTTTGATTTGAATATTTTCTGATTACGGAAAATATCACCTTTTTACATTTTAACCTTCCCTTCAAAATGACAAATGAAACATTACAATTTTATTTCCTTTAAGTAAAATGGTGTTTATGGTATTAGAAATTTTATAGCCTTTTGTTTGTTCACTGGCACTGGATAGCTCAACAGGAAGGAAAGCATTCCTACCTAAATTTTTTTTCACTTATACTGTGTATGAGGAATTGGGAGAAGTATTTTAATGAATGCAAATCCTTCAAAATCCTTAGTTAGAAAGTATTTGGTATTTTCAGTTATTATGCTAGTTAAATGACCTTTCTCCGTGTTTCTCATGTGTTTGCTTTTTAGGGTAAGGTAGCCGAACGTGGTACCCACCATGGTTTGCTTGCTAACCCTCATAGTATCTATTCAGAAATGTGGCATACACAGAGCAGCCGTGTGCAGAACCATGATAACCCCAAATGGGAAGCAAAGAAAGAAAATATATCCAAAGAGGAGGAAAGAAAGAAACTACAAGAAGAAATTGTCAATAGTGTGAAAGGCTGTGGAAACTGTTCGTGCTAAGTCACATAAGACATTTTCTTTTTTTGTTGTTTTGGACTACATATTTGCACTGAAGTAGAATTGTTTTATTAAAAAAATCATACATTCCCATTTTCTATAATCCTTCTTTTAGATAAGATTTATTTAAAAGGGGATTTGAGTTTTACATCTTTCACATTCTATTTAATGCGGCATCTGTAATTATCCCCAAATTATTTTCTTGTCACTGTCCTGGTTGTGCTCAATGCATAATTTTTGCTACCTGTTTGATATTACCACATTACCCTCTTGAAGCCTGACATTCATTTGATATCTATAGCCAGATGAATCAGATTGGTTTCCCAATTTTTGTAGTTTTTAAAACCTCCTTTATGCTGACAATTTAGAGGGAAAGTGTCTGTTTCTTAAAATGAAAGAAAAAGAGGATAGTGTAAGTTTATTGTTTCTTCTCCCTCCTCCCTCCAATTGAAATTGATGTGAAAATGAATTTATAAACTTTTAAAATTAGAATGTATCAGAAATAGACATGCATTTATAGTTTGATGTCTTACTCAATAGATTACTTACTTTTTTTTGTTTTTAGACAGATTCTGACTCTGTCACCCAGGCTGGAGTTCAGTGGCACATCTCGGCTCTCTGCAACCTCTATCTCCTGGGTTCAAGCAATTATCATGCCTCAGCCTCCCAAGTAGCTGGAATTAGCATGTGCCACCACACCTGGCTAATTTTTCTATTTTTAGTAGAGACAGCGTTTTGCCATGTTGGCCAGGCTGGTCTTGAACTTCTGACCTCACATGATCCGCCCACCTTGGCCTCCCAAAGTGCTGGGATTACAGGCATGAGCCACCATGCCCAGCCTATACTTAGAATTTTTGAAGTATTTGCAAATATGTACTTTTTGAAGGAAAAAAACCTTCATTCTCCTTTTGCTATTTAGAATATTCTTCATCATTAAGCAGCACCATAACTATCATCTAGTGATTAGAATTTTATTTTTCCACAAAAAATGAGGCATTGTTTTTGTTTTGGACCAAACTACACAGTTTTCTTTAAAGATTTACAAATTCCTATGTAATTTGAAAGTCGCTATACTGGGAGTAATCTGAAAAGCTTAGAAAGTACATTTATTTTCTATTGCCATCTTAAATGTGCTGCTTTTTCTATTCAAAGTTTACTAAGAAACAAGTAAATGGGATGTCGTGCATGCATACACATGCTCACATGTGTATAAATCAGTGTCCATTTAAAAAATATTAACATTTAGGTAAATAGAGTATTACATATTATTCTCTTTAGATGATCAAGACTCTAATCTGTGTTGACACTTCAGAATTTCTTTATTACAAGATCTTCCCTTACTTTTCAGTAATTTAATTAGTTTCTTTAAGCCTGACATAACAAGGAAGAGCCCAAACAACATAATCAAGTTTTACCTGCTAGAATTAATAAAATACTGGTATACATTCACTTAGAAAGTTCTCTTTTCCAGTATGAACTTGCTTTCATTTGTTTGGTAGTAATCATTCAATTCGAAAACATAAGCACCTCATGAATGGCCATATAACTATGTAATAAGGTTTTATTTCTCAGAAAAGGTCCTAATATACTTACTTTATTGGTTTATAGTTTTAAGAAAATTTTCATGATAATTTGATATGGGAGAGATTAGTATTGTTGACATTGGTGGGTGGATAGCTGATCTTATCTAATTTAGGTGCCCACTCTTGTTATATAAAGGTAATTTGGTAAGTAACATGAAACCAGTATTTCATAGTCTTTGCTACCAGAGTAAGTGATGCAAGATCTTGTTTTTAAAGCTAGAGTTAATACTGAGATGCATAATCAACTGAAAAATGGATTCGTTTTTTTTTTTTTTCTTTTCCTTTTCAACATTTCTTACTCTGAAACCATAGTTGTTACTGCTCTTCTGGCAGCGGGGAGCACTTTTAATGAATCCGTTGCATTACTGGAAATGTGGTTAAAGTCTCAATATAAATGTTGCTTCTCTGTTAATTCCCTCTATACATTTCCAGTGATGCTGATGGAAAAGATTTTGCTTAACCACATAAACAAACACATAATATTGAAGTAACTGTCAGTAATAATTCATTTTGAGGTGTGAATAGTGTTCAAAGTAAGTTATTTTATGATATGGGAAAACTGTAGTCCAAGAAGTTTAGGAGTGTTTCCAAGGTGTGGATAATTTTCCCACTAAGAGATATGAAGCTATTTTGTTTTCATATGATTGCAAGTGGTCCCTAGTCCATTGTGGTCATTAACCATTATTTTCAACTAACAAAATCTTAAATTACTTGAAAAGCAGTTATTGTAGGGTCCATAACTAAGTCTTAAAGGCATTTCTTTTAACCACTTCATATTAAGGTGGTTCTATACAGGGAAATAATAGACAAATGGAGATGGAAGAAAAGCTTCCTAGGATGATTCATTCAGAGGAAATGCCAAGAAAAAGGGCATTTAATTATAGTGTACTAATTTTACATTATAATATTATGTACTCACACAAAAGGATAAAGTGTATAAATCTCTAAATCAGTGTTGCAACATAATGTTTTTTAATATATTGGGATGAATAAGGTACAGTTTTAGAATATGTAATCTGAAAACGGAGCAAGATGATAAGGTTTTATTTTTTATATCTCTTTATTTTAAAGATTGAAATTTTTACTTTCTTCCTAAGGGACTTCCAGTTTACAAAAATTAAGTTGAAACCAAGGTAATTTGGGATTATAAAAACTGGGCCAGATGCCTTACTGAAGGTTCTTAACATAGAAATATCTTGGTGAGCAGATGGCCTCATTTGGAAATTTTTAACAGCTAAAGTCTGAGGGTCACTTTTGCAAATCAGAAAGAGACCTTAGCATTTGGACATGAACAAGCTCAAGATACGCGTTTGTTTTTCCTCTACAGAGATTTGCACCTTTTATAAACCTTAAGATAAATATTGTGTCATTCCTTTAGATGGTGACGAAGTAGTTTGTGAAGATGGCTGTTTTTAAAATTTTTTTTTGCTTTAAAGGCAAGATATTTAAAGATTGTATGATTCCTTATTTCTGGATGTCTTTGTCCATACTGCCATCTTGCTCTTATCCTTCCTACTTGCTGACTGTGTCACTGAGTAGCAACTTTTGCCAGTGTATATTCATAGTTATCTTACCTTGTATCTTTATTACTAGACAGTCTGTCATGAATTAATAGTTGAAAGCATTTAAATATGTTTGCAATTGCAGTTTTCTTAAATTGTAAACAAATCCCTTTGAATATATAGATTTTTAATGTAAATTGTATAGTAAATGACAATACCAAATCAAATAGGTTAAAATTGGTTAGTTAAGACAAAATAACTCAGAGAGGCCCTTTACCTCACTGTTACTGTTTATAGCAATCTGTGTAGATAAACATTACTAAATAAACGTTATATTTGTGACTAGAAATGGGTATCCCATTGAAGCAACTCTTCTCTGCAGTGTCCAGGGAAAACTGATATTTTGTCATTCACATACTGAGAATAAATACAGATAATTAAGAGACACTCTGAGGGTATGACCTTACAGCCTTACGCAGAAGGTAAAAACTTGGAATTGTTTCTAAGAGAAAGTAATTGTGAAACTCATAATGTGGGTAAAATGGCAGCAAATTATAGTGTGCTTTCAGTTAACATTAAGCTGTCGTACCAATCAGTTCTAATGATTAGGAAGTAAACTTTTGGGTATAGAAATGTCTTGACTGCAAATCGTGTGATAAACTAGCAATTTTATTAACTAGGTAGAGTTGGAAATGAAATGCATGTTCTAATTAAAAACAAGTTGGAGCATTTTTTGGTTAAAAAAAGGTCAGTGGATTGTTTCCATACTTCCGGTTCTTACACAGCTACAGTAGTTTCAGTATCATAAAATCATGAGATTTTAAAGTTAGAAGGAGTTTAGAGGTCATTTAATACAATCCCCTCACTCTACAAATGAAGAAACTGAGGCCAAGTTGGGATGAAAACCGTGGCTCCTGACACCTAGTCTGTTCTTCCTTCTACTACACCACATTTCCACTCAAGTTACATTTTAAAATAAATTGGAAGCTTTGCACAGTGGTGGTATCATAACCAATGAAGTATATCCGAGGCACAGTTATTGCTAATTGAAAATTTTTTCCAATACCCGGGCATTATGACTTGAAATATAGTTGGTATTGGTGAAATAAATAAATTGGAGAGTAGGACTTCCATAATGGCAAAGTAGGAGCTCAATAGACCCTCTCCCCAGCAAAACAACATTTTTACTGGTAAAATTGTTTTTTAAAAAGCAATCATTTAAAATTTCTGAAAATTGTCTTAAGGGCCTACAGGAAATAGAGAAACATCCATTCAAGAAAATCTGTTGACTCTTATTAACAACAGCAAGAGTTTGTGGTCTTTGAGGAACAACCTGTTCCATATGTCCCCCACCCCCATCCAAGTGTTACCTGAGTGTTCTACCCTGGATGCTCCATTCAGGGCGTGTATGGTGAAGATGATGGGGGTAGGTGGGGCTCACTCTTCTCCCAGCTCCCATTCTGGGGCTAGAGTTTCACCCTGTCAGGGCCAACTGTTTACATTTCTTATCCCACCCCTCAACCCCATACAAACACGCTTAAACCTGTGTTGCAGAAACTCTATGCCAGCAGACAAAGCCAAAAGGACTAGAGATGCCTTCTGCCACCCAGCCCTACCCCCACCCCCTTAAGAGTAGAAATTCTATTCTATGCAAAGACTGAGAATAAGGGGGCTCTGATTTTCTCTATCCCAGCTTGCTCATAACATTGGAGGCATCACCCAAAGGAGGAAACTGGCAAATACTGGGGACTTCCACCCCACCCCATCACCCGTGAGTAAAATGATTTGAGGAAAAATGAGCCCCACCCTCAGCTTCAGTTCAGTGGTGCAGAGGTTCTGCCCACGGGGAAAGGCATGCAATAAAAAGTTCCATAGCTCTGCCTGTGGAAACTGACTTCATTTGGAACAGAGCATGAAGAACTTCATCCCTAAAGATGTTGTCAAAAACAGTGGATGGAGATCTTGGTGGAGATCAATTAAGGGAAGGTTGCACATGCAAAGCAGCCAG